CAAGGACCCAAATTAAGCCCATGCGCATCATGTAAGGCAAACTGTGAATCACAGTGGTCGGTCAATAATAGTTTGGGGTTGTATTTAAAAAATTTTGTTTGTCCGTTAGTGCGTATTATGCGTAAGGAACAGTATCTGTTCATATTTCAACAAAATTTGCAAGATGTAGTCGAAAAAATGAAAGTTTCTGCTGAAAAATCACTCAAAACACACTGCACATGTTCACAAAGCCTGGATACAAAAGCAAAAATTTGCTAATTTCAAATGACCTCCACAATCCGCGGACATGAATCTCATCGAGAATTTGCGAAATCAACTAAAAGCACAGCTTAATAAGTATCAAAGTCCGTAATATCGAGTACATGAGCTGTGAAACAAACTAAGGATATACCTCCAGAGTTTTTACAAAGATACAAATAAGGTATGCCAAATCGCATCCAGGAACTGAAACAAGCAAAAGAGTACTGAACATTGTGTTAGTAGTTCTTTTTTTTCGTGAAAATTGTTAAAAAGTTCTTAAAACTATATGAGTGCAAAACAGTAACATCTGCCTTTATTTAAATTTTTGTCTGCTGGTTTTTTATTGTTGTTGCATTGACTTCAAATAATTATGAAAGAGGGAGTAGGGATGTACCAACAAAAATATACAACAAAAGTATGAAAGTCGTTAGAACTTGGAAAGATAGCGATGGCTGAAGTAAAAAGTGTTACACCATGTTACAGTTTTGCCCGTCACTGTAAGTTAGACATTGCAGCTTCAGATGTTGATGGCAACACTGTTAAATCAACGGTTTGACTATTTTTAGAAGTAGACCTAGTGGATATGGCTTTAGATAGCGGAGGCTCCAATGCCTAAGGGCATGGAGAAGATAGATTAATAAGCTCCAAGGACTGGGATGGAGGATTTTTCTGACTAGATACAGTGGCTGTCTTTCTAGGTGGACTAATAACACGCCTACCTTTACTTTCTCGGCTATCCTCAGGGTGTGGAGGGTTGTCGAGACATGTGAAAGACCTAAACATTTTCGTAATGCTTAAATTTCTCAACAAGCACCGACAGATCTTTCCCAATCTCGGAAAAACCACTTCTGGACTGCCTTCTTCTTCCTCTTCTATTTTGGCGCTGTAACCGTCTAAGCGATTGTGGCCAAGTTCAGCAAAGCACGCCAGTCGTTTCTCCTCTGTGCCAACTGACGCCAAATGAAGCCAAGTCGTTCTCCCGCTGATCTTTCCATCGCAGTGGGGGCCTCCCTCTTCCTCTGCTACCACCAGCGGGTTCCGAGTTGAATACTTTCAGAGTAGGAGCGTCGGTGTCCATTCGAACGACATGACCAAGCCAGCGGAGCCGCTGTATTTTAATTCGTTGCACTATGTCCATATCGTTGTAAAGTTCATACAGCTCATCGTTCCATCGTCTGCGGTACTCGCCGTCGCCAACGCGTAAAGGCCCGTAAATCTTCCACAAAATTTTCTCTCAACCACTTCAAGACCCATATACCAGCACAGGCATGATGAGTGACTTATAGAGCGTGGTTTTCGTATTCTGAGAGAGGACTTTACTCCTGAATTGCCTACTCAGTCCAAAGTAGCACTTGTTGGCAAGAGTGATTCTGCGTTGGATTTCAATGCTGACATTATTATCGGTGTTAATCCTGGCTCCCAAGTAAACGAAATTCTCTACTTTCTCGAAATTGTAACTGTCAACAGTGACGTGGGTGCCAAGGTGCGAATGTGCGGACTGTTTGCTTGATGACAGAAGATACTTCGTCTTTTCCTCGTTTACCACCAGGCCCATTCGCTTTGCTTCCCTATCCAACTCGGAAAAGGCAGAACAGACTCCGCAGTTTTTGTTACCGATGATGTCGATGTCATCGGCATAAACCAGCAATTGCACGCTCTTGTAGTAAATTGTTCCTAAGCGGTTCAGTTCTGCAGCTCTTATTATCTTCTCCAACATCAGATTAAAGAAGTCACATGAAATGGAGTCGCCCTGTCTGAAACCCCGTTTTGTGGCGAACGGCTCGGAGAGGTCTTTCCCAAATCTGACGGGGCTGGTGGTATTGCTCAACGTCATTTTACACAGCCGCATGAGTTTTGAGGGGATACCAAATTCAGACATAGCGGCGTATAGGCAACTCCTTTTAGTGCTCTCAAAAGCGGCTTCAAAGTCGACAAATAGGTGGTGAGTGTCGATCCTTTTCTCGCGGGTCTTTTCCAAGATTTGGCGTATTGTGAATACCTGGTATATGGTGGATTTGCCAGGTCTAAAGCCACACTGATAAGGCCCAATCTGTTCATTGACGGTGGGCTTCAGTCTTTCCCAATACGCTCGATAAGACCTTGTAACCTATGCTTAGAAGGCTGATCCCGCGGTAGTTGGCGCGAATGGCGGGGTCACCTTTCTTGTGGATTGGGCAGAGCACACTTAAATTCCAGTCGTTCCATGCGTTCATCTGACCATATTCTGCACAAGAGTTGATGCATGCACCTTATCAACAGCCGCGTTATTTCTATACGTACCTCGTCATAGTCAGGCGGTGAAACGTCGACTCCGTCATCATCGACTGCGGGCTCGGGTTCTTCTTCTCCACAACTTTCCGTGCTGCTACCATTTAGTAGGGTGGAAAAGTGTTCCCTCCATAATTTAAGTACGCTCTGGACATCAGTTACTAGGTAGCCATTATCGTTCTTACAGGAGTGCGCCCCGGTCTTTAAACCTTCCGTAAGTCGCCTAACTCTCTGGTAAAATTTTCGGGCATTCCTCCTGTCGGCTAGCATTTCCAGCTCTTCGCACTCACGTATTTCGGCCTCTCTCTTCTTATTGCGGCAAATACGTCTCGCTTCCCTCTTCAGTTCCCTATAGCGGTCCCACATAGCGCGCGTTGCGCCCAATCGCAGCGTGGCCCTGTAGGCGGCATCTTTTTTCTCTGCAGCTTCCTGACACTCCTCATCGTACCAGTTGTTCTTTCGGGCTCGCTGAAATCCGACTACTTCTTCGGCGGCGGTACTTAATGAGCGGGAAATGTGGTTCCACTGCTCGCATATGTCGGTTTGTTGAACAGTGCTCTCTGAGAGCAGGTGTGAGAATCGAGTAGCGAAAGCGCTGGCTGTCTGTTGGTTGGTTGGTTTAAGTGGATTGTCACTCAGGTGACAAGCAATTAGCAAGTTTGCCATTTTGATTCCACAACTCGTGCAACCTACAGCCATTTGACGGCTTTAATAAATTTCAGTACGTCATACAGAGAGAGGCAGCTGCACTCTGAAATATTCTGCAGGAATGGTTTGCCGAGTGTCTTTAGCCTCATCCTTGCGAGGGCTGGACACTCGCACAGCAAGTGTTCGACTGTCTCTTTTGAGCCCGGGTCATCGCAGTTGCAGCAGAACCTATTGAAGGGCAGTCCTATCCTTTCAGCATGTACCCCAACGGGCCAGTGCCCTGTGCACACTGCAGTAAGTTTGTAGGTATTTGTTTTGCTCATTCCTATGCAGTTCCACCTCTGCCTGGCCTTCGAATGATAAATTTCGATAATTTTTGTCTTAATCTCCCTGAGAGAGGCGCCCATGTCCACCGCGTGGGACACATCCAGTGCGGAGCCGCTCCTTGCTAGTTCGTCCGCTGCCTCGTTTCCGTAAATGCGCCTATGTCCCGGGACCCATATTAGGTTAATTTCGTATTGGCCAGAAATATAGGCTAGCTCTCTCCTACATTCATCCACTAGCTGAGGTGAGGAAAGTGGCTAAATAGCCGCTTGGCTATCCGAGAGGATGTTCACTTGCGTTCTCGCGGGTACATTGTCTTTGATGTACCTTACTGCCTCCTTAATAGCAAACGATTAGGCCTGGAAAACGCTTGCATAGTCTGGTAGGCGGAAGGATAATTTTGGGGTATATTGCTCAATGAAGACCCTAGCACCAACCCCGCATTCCATCTTTGACCCATCCGTAAAGACAGTTAAGCCCTGCAAGGACCCGAAATCTTCCTGATTCCAGTCACTGCGGCTTGGGAATTTCGTGCGGTGTTTATGGTGAACGACAGGATATAGTCAGTGGGCAGCGCTTTAATTTCAGACGGTATTGCGTCTAGGATGGAACCGTGCCCGAACGGTCTTTCCTTCCAGAGCCCCAAGGCACGCAGTCTGATGGCGCTGTTAGCAGCTGAATTCTCTATGAAGATATCTATAGGTAATAAGTCAAGAAGGACGTTCAAAACGTCCTTCGGACAGGATCTCATTGCACCTGTTACGCTAGCGGCTGATCACCTTTGAACTCCGCCTAGTTTTTTAACTACGTAAAAGGATTAGCGCTCTTACACGACATGTATTTTCATAAGTAATTGCTACTTTTCTGATACGTTCCAATATATGGTACATACGAGTAGATACAAAAAAGTAGCATTTACATATGCAAATATACATCGTGTAAGAGCTCTGTTAGTAAGGGCTGGCCACCAGACCAGCGCCCCATAAGAGATTATGGGTCGGACTATAGCTGTGTACATCCAGTGCAAAATTCTGGGTTTCAAACCCCATCTGTTGCCCAACATTCTCTTGGCTGCATAGAGAGCCACCGTGGCCTTCCTAGCACGCTCCTCAATGTTTCGTTTCCAGTTAAGTTTGGGATCTAAAATAACTCCAAGGTATTTCTCCTTCTTTGACAGATCCAGTTCCGTTCCTCGGAACCTTGGTTCATTAAAATTTGGTAATTTTGTTTTATTTGTGAAAAGCATAAGGTCAGTTTTCTCCGGGTTTACGCTAAGAGAACAGCTTATGGCCCAGGAATCTACTATCTTTAAAACCCATTCCATAATTTCACTTATGACCGAAGGAAACTGACCCGATACCAGTGTCGCTACATCATCGGTGTAAGCCACCGCTTTGATTCTCTGAGAGTCCAGCTTTACCAGTAGTTTGTTTAAGACCATGAGCCATAGTAATGGTGATAGCACCCCCCCCCTGTGGGGTGGCTCTCACTGCATATACGGCCCTGCTTTGGTACCCCAATTAGGCATGTATTAATCTGCTCCTTAGCAGAGACACTATCCAAGCCCGGACACAGTGATCAATCCCTGTTTCCATAAGTGCCTCATGAATGGAATCTGCACTGACATTATTAAAGGCCCCCTCGATGTCTATAAAGGACTCCATTGTAAATTGTTTATAGTAGAGCGAACTCTCAATTGTACGTACCACTTCATGTAGGGCAGTCTCCGTTGACTTCCCTTTCAAGTACGCATGTTGAGAGCATGATAAATTGGACGTCTTGTCCCTAACATACAGATCCAACAGCCTCTCAAACGTCTTGAGCACGAAGGACATTAAGCTTATTGGTCGGAAATCTTTAGCATTGTCATGGCCCCGTTTGCCCGCTTTAGGAATAAAAATTACCTTAATCTTCCTCCAGCTTAACGGAACGTGGTTCAGTATTAGGCACCCTCTAAAAATTGTTTCTAGGACTGGAATGACCATCTCAGAAGCTTTCTGAAGCATGACTGGTAGTATTCCATCCATACCTGGTAATTTATAGGGTGAGAAGCTGACGATAGCAAATTTTATCTTTTCCCTATCTAGTAGCTCCTCTAAGAGGTCCTCGGAGAAGGTTGGTATATGGTCTGGGGCATCGGTACCCAAGGTCTTATTCAGGCTGTCCACTTTGGCGTCCAGCTCGCCCCTTGTAGGAATGTCTTCAACTGGTAGTTTCTTCAATTCTTTTCCAATAACCTTTTGAAATAAGTCCCAATCTGTTTTACGAGGGTTTCTAAAGGGAGTGGGCGTATCCGCCGCAATATTTAGCTCAAAGAGTATTCGACGGTGGTCCGAGAGAGTCTCTTCGTCGGATACTCTCCATTTATTGACCTTTAGGCTCCCCTCGGTCAGCAGAGCTAGGTCTAGGACCTCTTCCCAACCGCAAAAATCAGGAGTACTAGCAAATATGAAGGTGGGAGTACTACCTCTATTACAAATTCTAAACGTAGAATCAATAATAAATTAAAATAGCGACTCACCTCTTTCGTTGGTTTCCGAGCTGCCCGATAATGTACGTCTTGAATTGGCATCGCAACCGAGTAACACTGGACTAGCTCCTGCTAGCCTTTGTAAAGTGGCGACTTCCTGTGGCGGACACGGCCTGTCGTGCGCCATGTATACGGATGATATAAGACAGCTTTGTTTATTCATCAACTCCAAGTTGACGACTGTAGTATCTGGTGAGCTGAAATTGGAACATAAGAAAGCTTTAATAGGTTTTTAACCAATACACACGCGCGGGGCTTACCTGATATACTAGTGTAGAAGAGGTTATAGCGGGCGTCAGTGAGTCCCTTAACCTCTAGGTCCCTTACCCAAGGTTCCTGTATCAACGAGATGTCGATGTCTTCCTCCCTTAGGAAGACCAGGAGCTTGTCCGAGGCAGCCTTAGAGTACCTAAGATTTGCCTGGACCACTTTCATCGGGTTGGCATCCTCGATATCAGCCTCTGGAATCGGCTCATTGGAGCGGAGTATTTTTAGTTTCGCTGTTCTCACCCCGAAGAGCAGCTTGTTGTCCATTTTTTGCAATGGCTCAATACTTTCTTCGTTAAGCCTCAGAAGGTACGAAGGACTCTGCGCACCCTCTAGAGGCTTTCTGCATGAATGACTACCCAGTCACTCATGGGTATTTCTGGATTCTGCCGTTGCAGGAAGCGGATCAACTTGTCGCTGTCCATAGCCATCTTCGGCAGCCAAATGCGGGCCCTGGGTTTCCTAGGTACCTCCTCGGCAGGGATTAGTTTGAACTTCAAACCCTCCCAGGCGTTGCCGAGCTCGGCTACGCACTTGCCGAGCAATTCCCTAGAGAACTCATCTCTACATTTGAAAGTCCGGCAACCCCTCAGGGACTCACTGGAGTCAAATCCTGGAATAGGGTTGTCCGGATTTTCAAACAGGTAGTCGCCCACCTGTTCAGAGAGTTTTGACTCGATCTTCTTGCTGGGGAGTGCTTTTTGTGTCCGCCCTTTTTCCAGCTGGTTCTGTTATAGACTCCTCCTTAGGTCTACTTCGTTTAACTGCCACAGGCTTCTTGGTTGGTTTTGAAGTAAGGTACCTCCTGTACCCCTCCACCACCTCATTGCACCTGCGACTGTCTTCTTCATCCTTGGGGTGTACAGTACCGGCCGCTGCATTCTTGGCAATCTTGTCAAGAATGAAGACAGCCCTGTTGTACCTCGACTTGAGCGCCACCCCCGAGGACTTGGTTTTCCTCCTTTCTTGCTTTGGAGTGCTCCCTGGAGCACTCAACGCTGTCTTTGAGGAAGATGGGGTATTGTCGGGATCGCTAGGCTTAGCACTCACCGGTATTGTTATCGAAGAGCGTGCAGAGTCCTGACTGCAAGCCAGGAGCACATCCTAACCTGCGCTCAGGATGTCTTCCGAGACATCTCTCCTCTCTTCGAAATTTGTGTTTGTGTTTTGTTTTTATTATTGTTTTTGTTCATTAGTTTTTTGTTCCCACGAGTATGCTCGGAAGGGGTGGTCCACCCCGGCAGAGCCGGCATACCGTAGTAAGGCACTTATACAACCGACCTTGCCCGGGCATCGGAGGGGACCGCTAGCGACCAGTTCTTTAAGCACTACTGGCCATTCATCCATCGGCACGGGTACCTCAACACCGCTGGTTTAAAGTACTTTCCAGAGAAGGGAAAGGGGGAGAGTGGTCGGCAATATATAGGTGGGGTGATAGGTAAGGGGGGCGGTTAAAGGAAACGGTTGGGTTGGGGAACGTCGGTGCGGGCGTCTACGCATGGGAGCTGCAGCCCACGGCCGCCACAAGAACTACGGGTGAGCAGCCGCAGACTCCAGTCCTATACCCAGTACCCCTCTTGGTTCATGGTTCTGTGCCCGGAACACCAGTATGACTGACATAGCATCACTTAAGCCCCATCCCCAGCGGCAAGGAGACCGACATGATGAGGGGCTGTCTGTTGTGATTGCAGCTTTTCGACGTTAAGCTTTCCTTGCATATTTGGGCGCACATTTTTTGCTGCACAGAGGCGGGTGCGTATCTGGGCTGCCACAAGATAGTGGTCCGAGTCGATATTTGGGCCTCGGAGTGTGCGTACGTCTAAAACACTGGAGGCGTGCCTTCCGTCTATCACAACATGATCGATTTGGTTTCTCGTTTTTCGATCTGGAGACAGCCATGTAGCTTGTTGGATGTTCTTATGCTGGAACCTAGTACTACATATTACCATGTTTCGGGCCCCGGCGAAGTCGATCAGCCTTAGTCCGTTATCGGACGTTTCGTCGTGGAGGCTGAATTTTCCGAAAGTGGCGCCAAAGATCCCCTCATTGCCCACCTTGGCATTAAAATCGCCAAGCGCTCATATGTACGCTCCAAGCGCTCATAGAAGAAATCCTTGGATGCCTCATCCTTCTCTTCCGTCGGGGCATGGGCGCAGATGAGCGAAATGTTGAAGAATCTAGCTTTGATGCGGATTGTGGCTAGACGCCCGTCCACCGGGGTGAACGACAGTACTCGGCGACGGAGTCTCTCTCCCACCACAAATCCAACTCCGAAATTGCGCTCCTTTACATAGCAGCTGTAGTAGACGTCGCAAAGCCCCAGAGATTGCTTGCCTTTCCCCGTCCAACGCATTTCTTGGATGGCGGTGATGTCAGCTTTTGTCCTTACGAGGACATCAACCAACCGGGCAGAGGCATCTTCCCGATTAAGGGTCCGGACATTCCATGTGCATGCCCTCAAATCGTAGTCCTTTAAACGTTTGCCGTGGTCGTCATCATAAGGGGTTTCATCCGAGCCTTTGCCTTGCTTTTTCACTGGAAGTGGTTTTTACAGTTGGCAATTGGTGTAAATACACGACATGTTTAAATTATATTTAATTTTTAGGTTTTAGAAGCAAAAAAGCAAAACAGTTTTGAAAACGATGTATCAAACAGAGAACCAATCAGCTGGTAAATATCAGTTGAAAAGCTATGTAGCGAACAGTTTTAAATGCAGTGTATATTTGACACCTAATAGACACAACGCAGACAGCTGTGACAAAGATGAAATAGCAGAAATGAAAAAAAGAGCAAAATCAATGTGCAAAAACAAAAACAATTGTACAACAACAATATATTATATGAAACAAAATACTCGGCACATGCAATTAAGAATATCAAGTTAAATTAATCAAATTTACAGGAAATTTTGATATTTTACTTGTCTTTAAATTGTGCACCAGTAGTTCATTAACACTTTTTTTAATTTTTTACTTTATTAAGCGTAAATAGCTTTATAAAACACAAAATTTAAGCAGATCACAAAAAAACACAGCTTTGACGTTTGCGTACTATTAGTATAGATATGGAAAACTTTTAGCGCTTTGAGCGACTTCTAAATATTTGTTGATTTCAAAATAAAATAATAGGGGTATATTTTTTCGATATAGAACATTCCTAAGGGGTGAGAGCATTAAAATTCCGACTTTATTTATTTTGGACGACCGTCATATACATACAAAGATAGTTTGGTAAATTTAAATCAAGCTTTAACTATACACTAATTCGTGTTTATGTTTCCAAAGTCGTCAGCGCTCAATGGTTTTTCAATTTTGTTAAAATCACAATATGGTTGTCAGATTAGACAAAATTCAGCACACTGCTCTATTTGCACATTAAATAAAAATGTAGAATTTCCCCAAGAGTAATGGGTGCGCTGTTGAAATGTGTGGAAATTAAATCTGACAAATTTTCGCATTCTTTTCACTCCTCCTAGCTCCTAGCTTGCTCATTTGTCGCTTTGACAGGATTAGGATTGAATTATCCGTTGATGAAAATAAAAGCATATATGTGTGTATTTGTTGGGATGTACGTACATATGTACAATACATATATTATAATGATGTACACATTCATACGCATATCATCCAATTTCAATTAGTATATGTAAGTACTGCACATACATACATACTAGGAATGTTAATACCGGGATCCCGGTCTTTTTTTATGTCCCGAAAATCCCGGGATTATTTGCCTAGGATCCCGGGATTTTCGGGATTTGTAATTTACACTGGTGGCAACAATAGAAACGCTTTATGTTGACCAGTTTTGGCTATATTTCTTTTGTTTATTTAATATTCAAAATTCTTTTTTAAAAATGTGTAGCTCAATATACATATACTTTGCGGCAGGCAATTTTGCACACAAAAAAAATCAATATATTCGCCAAACCAAGGGCCAAATATAGTAAAATTGCATTTTAAATTTTTCTCTCTAACGTCAGAATTTTTAAAAAGAAATTTAAAATTTGAAAGATAAGAGTAATTCAAAAAATTATTTAAAAATTTCAGTGCAATATACTTAAGAAACCAGTATGGGTATCAAATTAAAGAGAAGATTCTGTAGAGTTAAAACACATTACATTTTTTGGCCCGAAAGGGACGGTAGGTATTGAAAATACCCTTTTTTAATTTTATCCTTGAATATTCTTCAAAATTTTCAAGTCCTTTTTTTGAAAAAAAGGACTAATTTTATTAGCTTAAAAAATAAAATAGATTAAAGGGGCTTTTTCAATTCCTATTCGTCCTTGTGAACCCAAAAAATTATTTAATTTGGTACCTATAATTTTGTTTTACATTTCACTGAATTTTTTTAAATAAATTTTGGAATACACATTTACATATACATTTATACATATGCAGTTAATTATGATTAATATGAAGTATACTTTTATAAAAAAATGTAAATTTTGGATAAACAAAAGGAATATAGACAAATCTGGTCGAATTAAGGCGCTTCTTTTATTTCTGCCACTAGAATTTTGAACTTTTTTCCACCAGAAAATACATTTTTTGACTTCTTTTTTTTTGCATCGAGCTTTTTCGACATACCTTAAATTACTTTATCAGATATGTACACACTAAAGTATTATTAAATGCATATAAATTTAATTACTGTCTGTCGTTTTGTTACATATGAAATAATTTTCACTTTAAATAAAAAAGTACGTTCCAACCCCATTTCCTTATTGTTTATTATATGGTAGGAGAGCTTCTCAAACCATATTGATGCAATTTTTTTCAGGTTAAGTCATTGAAAAATAATAAATATCTAAATTCCGGGACTGATCCCGGGATGGAACCAACGACATCCCGAAAATCCCGGCATCGCAAAAATTTAAAAAATTAACATCCCTAATACATACATATGAACATGTATTAAATTTTCATACATATGTACTACGGATGTTTCGAATGTCAATGCGAATGCCAATGCGAATTTTCGGAATGCGAATGCCAATGCGAATTTTCGGAATGCGAACGTGCGAATGCGAATGATAGGAATAACATTAAAGAAGCTATAATCAACTTAGTCATCGTTTTTTATTACTTAAAAATTTAGTAAATTATTAGAACATTGAACAAGTGCGTAACCTATACAGTGTTTAAATCTAGTAGTCAAAGTTCAAAGGGGGAATATTATATTTCAAAAAAGTAGTTTTACTGCCTTTTCTCCCATGAGGTCATTTCTCAGAGCCTCGTATACAAGGCCGGCTGCACTGAATAATT